CCCCCCACAGGCCGGCGCTAGCGACGGGGGGACCTCCGAGGCAGGGTGTGGCCAGTCGCCATCCCCAGGGGACAGCAGGCCGGGGCCACCTCATGCCCTCTTGGAGAAGAGGAGGCTGAGGGGAGACCTGATCGCCCTCTACAGCTGCCTGACAGGAGGGGGGAGTGAGGTGGGGGTCGGCCTCTTCTCCCTGGTAACTGGCGATAGGACGAAGGGGAATGGTCTGAAGTTGTGCCAGGGCAGGTTTAGGTCGGATATGAGGAAAAATTTCTTCACCGAAAGGGTTGTCCGGCTCTGGAAGGGGCTGCCCAGGGAGATGCTCAAGTCCCCATCCCTGGAGGTATTTAAAAGAAGGCTAGATGAGGTGCTTAGGGACATGGTTTAGTGGTGGGATGGCAGGGTTAGGTTAATGGTTGGACTTGATGATCTTAAAGGTCTTTTCCAACCTAGACGATTCTATGATGACAGCTGTAGGTACCATTAGTGGCTCCTCGTTTGTGTCAGTTGGCGTTACCGCCCTCAGAAGCACATCACAAAGATTTAGCACCCCTGTGGGGTGTCACCACTGGCCTGCCTTACGAAAGGATGCCTCGTCACCCTCACCTGAGGCAATGGCAGACTGACAGAATAAAGACAGAAGAGTCCAGTTTAACTGGATGGATGAAGTAGATCTATTAATACTCAAAAGTACCAGCTTGGTTTCAATAATGCTTTTCATTAAATGAGGCATCTTGAGACGCTGTTTATAGGACTGATGTAGACTTGACTTTGTTTTGCCGCTGTTTTGAGAAAGAAGAGCAGCTGGCAGTCACAGTAGTCAATGGATAATGCTGCGGGCGGGTACATGGGGAAGCTGTCCTGCTTGCCTGGCCAGCAGCTTTGCCCCACAGTAGCTTCCTTGAAATCAAGGCTTTGCATACAGGAGTAAGAATTTATAAGATACAAGTCTAGTTACACAAATGCATGATATAATCTCTTTCTGTATTTTTCCTTGATGCATTTCAAGGTGTATTCATCTTCCACAGATGTCCTGAAACCAAACTTTCGAAATAATAAACGTTAAACATAGTCTTGTACCATTTGTAGTTCAGAGGCAGTTCTCTAACAGAAGTGCTGAACGGGGCTTCAGGAAAGGCGGGTGATGGAGATGTCCTCCACTGATGCTTGATCAGAGCACCAAACGTGGGCCAAAGTACCCCAACCCTGCTGCTGCAATGCGCTTCAGCCCTGTTAGCGGTGTCTGGAAGGAGCTTGGGATCACTCGGCAGGCATCTGCACCAGACAGCAAAGTGTTTTGTTGCAGCTCTCATACTGAGTGACAGGACTTCAGGTCTTATGCTCAATTTTAAGTTCAATTTGGTTAACACAGAGAAGCAAGCTTCTCCACTCCTAAATTATAGATGGCAAAGTTGAAGCTCAAAAGCATGCAGCCTGCCATTACCATGGGAAAATCTTCAGTGCACCGGGTCCCATGCGATACAGATCATCTGCTGGGCTGACAGCATTGCTGAAGTTCTACCAGCTTCCTTCTAAACCACTACTGATCAAAACAAATCTACCTGCTCAGAGTAACTGTTCTGAGAGGTACTGTGCCAGTACTTAAAAGCCCTAACTCAATTAAGTAGTGATTCTTTTGTCCGAAACTTACACTTGAACCAAGGTGGGGGAAAGAAAAAAAAAAACCAGGAAGCGTACATTACTGGACCTCTCACAGATAGCTAAATAATCCAGAGATGTTAATTCTCCAAAAGAAGTTGGAAGATTGAGAGATGCAGACTGATACAGCTGATGTGAACAGTAACACAGATAAATTAAACTCTCAGATCAGCTCTAAAAATCATAGAATTTTTCACTTGCTAGCAGGAAGGCTGAACTGACAAACAGAAACAGCAAATTATGATGTCTCTTGTGAAAATCCATAGCGTTAATTAACATTTTTCTGCAAGTTCAACCAAACAGTACTCCGTGCTAACACCCAGTAAGAACACCTCAGGTGAAGGGTCCCAAATCTTCACCATGAACCAGTGAGATGCTAGCTGGCGTGACTGCAAAGAGAACCTGCACAAAGCATGTACTAGAGGCCTCAAAATCTTAAGAAACAAACCAACCGGCCCACTCCCACCACCCTGAGTTTGGTTAAATGACAGCAGTCAAGTCTGTCAGAACTTTTGGAAGCCTGACTCGGATGTAAAAGCCCAGGATTAGTAATACAAGCTGTCACAAATTATAAAGGTGTCAAATAAGAAAATAAACAAATGGTCTGGAAATTAAGGAATTTGGATGAAAAATACAAGTAAAGTTTTTGAACTATGGTGGTATCCTAGTATTTGAGTTGGAATGAGGAATTCCTTTCAGGGATTCACAAGTGGAAGAGAAACACTGCTGTGTCCTGCGCTAAACCAGCTGTAACTAAATCAGACACAACAGCATGTTGGCCGTTTATCCTCATTCAGTTGAAGTTTACTTGTTCTAACTAATGCCATATCCATGGCATTAAACCTTTACTCCTCAACTTAATTTGCAAGGAAAAAGCAAACAGGATCTCCATAGAAAGTCAGTTAGTTGAAAAGTACCAGGAAAAAAATAAACTGAAACTACTTTATCATCCTATGAATAACACTTTTGATTTATGAGCAGGTGATTGCATCAGGAATTTGAGCTTTTCATTAAAAATCTGCCAACAAAATACTTAGGGTTAAATATTTTATTTTATAACAAGCCCTACACCGGGATCACTAAACATTTTGTGTATCACCCAAATAAGTTACATTCATTCTGAGCTTTCATGCAGTTTTAAAAAAGTTAAATTTCTCAAAAAATAATTTTCAAGTGAACGGTAATACTACGTAATCAAGCCAGAATTCTTTCACATCACGTAAATACTCCAGTTTCCCCTCCTGCTTTGACAGTGCAGACCAATTACAGAAGCCCCTCCAAATCTGCACTAATTAAATGGAGATTCACTGAAATTACTGAGACTTTCTGAATACCTTGAGTAACAGCAGTGACGCTTCAAGGCACGAGCGAGACCACCGAGCTGAGCTGCAAGAAGCGACATTTTGCCCGAGGAGAATACTGAAGTATCTTAAATGAAAGCCTCTTTGCAAAGGGACAGACCACCACTGACGAGCATGCAGAACACAACCCAGAGGCAGCAAACCTCACACTCACAAGCTTAACCACAGCTTTTAAGGGGACACCGCGTTTATGCAGTCTTCTACTATTTCAAAAAGGTAGTGATATATATCAGTCCTCCTGGCAATGTCAAGGGCTGTTTCATCCAGGTTGTTTTTCAGGTCTGGCTTCACGTAGCGATTCATCAGCAAGAGTTCAAGGGTTTCTCTACTGTTCTTGTTTCCTGCAGCAATGTGCAACGGCGTCAGCAAGCCATTTGTCTGCGCGTTGATGTCTGCACCCTGCTGAAGTAAGAATGCAGCCACTCTTGTATTGTTCCACTTACAGGCGCTGTGCAGAGGCGTCCAGCCGTCCACTGTCTGTGCGTGAACGTCTGCCCCTTGGGCAACCAACTCGTGTGCAATGTCCAAGTGCCCGCTGTAGGCAGCTCGATGGAGAGGAGTGTACTGATCTTCATCACGAGCATTAACTGGAGCCAGCTTTTCGGAAAGGAGCCTCCTCACTGTACTCAGCTATTGAAAGAAAACAGGTAATTTAATATGAAACTCTGCAAACAAGACGTATGGCTTTCACTGTGCTGACGTTTTATGGAAAGCAATTTCCATCAGTCTCAAAAAGGCCTAAGTGCAACAAGAAATTTTAAAATGAAACCAGTTATTGTTACTGGGGTGGGGCTTTGTTTGTTTTGGGTGGGGTATTTTGGTTTGTTTGTGAAGAGATACAACGTGAACATTAGTTGCCTTCCGAGTGCCTTTGCCTTACACCTTTTCCCCATTCGCTGTGAAGATGTAAGTACCTCCACAGGACTGCAGATGGAGCTTGTGCATGTAAGAAAGGCAACCGATGAAAAGAAATGTACACAAGGGTGCAATAAGGTACATAATGAGGACCTTGGTCGTCTCTCCCTCACTTCCAAGAATAAAAAGCTCTTTTTTTTTTTCTCTCTATAAAAAGAGAGGAAAATGGTCACCCATTATCTGCATACGAAGCTTCTGAGAAAATAAAGTTTCAGATACACCCTCTCCACCCCAGTTAAAAGGGTTACTTGCCATGAAGAAACAACCTGGCACACTTTAAGAAGAGGGACGTTACTTTGCCTTTGAACTACAATCAAAGCTTTTGTTCTGAAAGCTGATGGATCTAGAGGTATTTTCGGGGGCGGGGGGGGAAGGCCAGTCAGTCTACAAAGGGAGATTTTTTACATACAGTGGCTTGGAAAACCAGATCAAAATAGTTCAGGGAGATAAAGAAAATTTATGGATGAAGCTGTAGACATCTGCCCAAAATAAACATTCTAGTGATACATATGAACAGAGTAAATGCCTTACCCGATTATTTTCAGCTGCCCAGAGTAGCAATTTCTCTGGATTTTTTTCCATCTTTTTTTCTTGCATTTCGTACCATTCCTCACTTCTTTCTTGTTCATCATCGTCATCATCAGACTGTCCCGACCAACAGCTCTGAGTTCCTACGGGAATTAAATGCCTGTGCGTCTCCAGCAGTTCCAGTTGGTTAAAATTCTCCGTGAAGTCTTCAAACTGCTCGCTGTCATCATCGTCTTCATCAATGTGCTTGTCCTTACTCATTTTCAGTTAGCATCTGTAAGTAGCAGATATACGATACTTATAACAACTCTTACTGTTAGCCATGCACTAATCGTCAGTAAAAACACCCGGGGGATGATGCAGACAGCGGCAGCGCAGCCGACAGCAAAACTCAAGAGCAAACCGAACGCTCCTCCACTAAACCGGGCTCTGCCAGAACCCGCAGCGAGTATCCGCGCAGGAAGGCACCGCGCCGGCCCTCGCACGCCCCCCGTGCGTTGCACGAACAAAGGACCCGGAGGCCACGGGAGGCTGCACCGCGGTG